ACCACCTCTCCTTCCCTGAAATGAGATGTGCTTCTGGCTTTCACAGGGCTCTGCTCAATCAAAGGAGAGCAGACTGACTGATTGATGGATGGATTGACCGAACACAGCAAGAAACAAAGCGATCACTTCTCCTGGCTAGAGGGTAGAGGGGGTCAGTTACTTGGTGATAAAAGGCTTGCTACACTGGAGCACTGCAATGCACACTTTCCGCATGGAAAAGGCGGGCTAGGGAGAAGGGTGGAAGCGTGGCTGTTCTCTTCTGGCTAGGTCCAGAAGGCACAAACACCCACTTGCACCTCTGAGCAGATCTCTTGAATTTTAATGTGAAGAGAGGTCACAGGTGTGGGGACACATTTTGTAGGAGAGGCATTTCTTTCATGTTTCCCTTCTTAGTTTTCAACCAATCTTACTTAAATGAGGGGGGGGGGAATCCTGAAAAAAACAAAAAAGTCTGCACACTCCCATTCTTTTCCTTGCTCCTTGCAATTTGCTATGAGGGCCCCGCAGGCCCAAAGCCTGGGTTTGTCTGTGAGGCAGAAGGGTGGTGGCAGCTCCTCTTCAGGGTCACATGTATCTGCTTTCACATCAAACCTTTTCTAATGAGCCTGAGAGACATGTGACTTTGAAGGACGATGCCCGCCTGTCACCTAAACTCTGTGCTGGCACATGCAGACACGGGTCACAGCCTCCCCAGCAAGCAGCAGGGAGCGCGCACTTCTCAGGCAGGTTTGAGAGCTTCACGGAAGGCTTCCTGAATGCCTATACCCATGGAAGACAAGTGACGTAGGCTGTGACCTCACTTTGGCAAAAGCCCAGGATGAATCAGAAAACATGATCTCACTTTCATTTGAAAGCCTGAAAGCTGTGTGGGACACTCCCTGCCCAAACAGCTCATGAAAATGGTCTCCATTCCAGCCCCTGCCTAGCAGCAGCTCTCCAGATTTTCACAGCAACTTTGCAACTAGGGTTGGGTGAAGTACTGCTCTCTTAAATATGCAACTGATCGGAGATAGTATTGAGACTTCCTTTCTGCAGCTGCCTATAGAAGAGATTAGCATCAGTTCACAGACACAGGAACTCTCTGGCCTCTTTAATTCCTAACTAGTGTGGCTGAAGGTATTTGTGTACTTCAAAGGAGAATGACAATTTTTTTTTTCATTTCTATCACCTCCAGCTTTGTTACTCTTGCATCTCTTTTTCCCTCTGGGTAAACAAACTGCTGGGTAGCTGAAACCACCTTAACTGAAAGATGCAGGCCTGGCCTCTGCAGCTGGTGGCCTTTACCGCCCCGCCCCCCCCCCCATCGGGCTGTTTTGTCTTTCTCAAGAGGCAGCTTGCGGTGAGATAAAGGGTGGGGGCAGAAAGAAAGGAGAGACAGGGAAGGGTGGAAGAAAAGAGGGAGGGAGGGAAGGAAGGTAGGTTACTCAGGAGAGAGACTGCTTTGGGGCAACCTACTTGAGCCATGGCCTTGCTGAAAATTTGCGCTGGTACAATAGGCTTCGATGACTTTGAGAATTTGAGCGTCCTCTTCCAGAGCGGCAGTACCTATCAAATGAATCAATCATGACTTCTGGAACAAAGATGTGCCTCTAGACCCTTGACAAGACCCTGGGGACTAGCTTTGCTGACTGGTGTTGTTGTGGAAGGGGGAGAGATGGCTGCCCAGCTCTCTTGAAGCAGCAAGAACAGTGTCCCCCAGGGGCTCTGGGTCAGCATTGGCCGCACTCAGCACCAATGCAGGTGCATGTGCCCTTGAAGCCCACCCAGAGTTCTAAAACTGGGGACTCCTATCAGGCATGTCTAAGAGGCCACCGTGACAGCCCTGGCTGACACCACATCCTTCCTCTCCTTCAAGGTCAAGGCTCACCTTCTCTAGGAAGCTTTCCCCCATAAACGCCACCCATTTTTCCAACCAGCGTGCACAGTCACTGATTCTCCCTCCTCCCTCCAACTCACTCTTGAAATGACTGCAGGCCCGAGCTAACAGTGCTGACACAGATGCCCAGGTGGGGGGGCAGGGAGCAGAGAAGTCAGAGAGAAGGAAAGATTTGTCCAGGCTAGATTGCCTGGTACCCTCTTTTGAGACATCACTTACTCCTTGGTGTGTGTCCCAAGAAACAACTGTGTAGTCGGCTTGAAATCAAGCCCCGTTTCTGCATATCAGCCGACCTGTACTTTGGCTTACTGAGAACATCCTGAGCTTTGGACTTCCAGGATTACAGTCTACTCAGTGTCTCTCAGTAGAGGGAAGAGCCAACGGATCCCTTTAGTGGCTCAAAACCCAGTGAGTCCAAATATTCCAGACAAAAGTCATACAGCTAGTGTTTGGCTAAGCACATGCACAAGTGATATCTCATTCAAAATCTCAGCAGTGATCAAACCATCCCATGTATTTTTCTCTATATCACAGATGAGGCTGAGAACAAATTGCTCTAATCATCTGCTTTGTGTTCGTGCACCCATAACGATCTTTCAGAAAATACAAAATACGTACTTTTCCGAATCACATACTCCTCCTCTGAGGGCTTCCTTTCGGTCTTTCTTTTGTGAAGAAACTTCTTCATCGTTTTGGGGCTTTTACTAGACTCCTGCAAGGATAGTGGTTACTTTATGAATTAAAATTCTCCCCGGCGAAAAATCAAATCAAATCAATCAGAAGAGCAAATGAAATGAAATAGATCACCTCTCTGTTATTTTAATAGTCTCAATCAGGAGTGCACAAAACTTAATTTTATACACACTAAAGATTGCGCCAATGAACTCTATCGAAAAGGCTAAATAAAACAGAGGCAATGATATCATCCTCTCAGTTGTCTTGGAGACTGGAATGAGAATGGACTGTTCGCGCTGGAGTGGTGCAGATTCTGTCTGGGAGGCCAAATGCCTGTGGGGAGCCATCTGCAGAGGAAGGGATGGGCCCCCTGAGAGACAGGCTGCTGCCCACTGCTCCGACTGGATTTGTGCTCCCCACTGCTAGTGGGGAGGGAATTAAATGGCGATTGTAGCTACTCGTAGAGTATAAGACACTCTTCAAAGAGCTTCAAAGTTACTTAGACTTAGCAGAAGAATATTAATTTCCATTTGTCAGATGGGAAAGTTAAGGCAGAGAGAAGGGTCAATGAAGTATTTCTCTTGATATATATAATTTTGAGTTAGCAGTAATTTACTTAACAGCCAAGCTTAAATATGCATATATACAGTCATATTTTAAGTTAGTAGATAAGATGTGTAAATCACTGAATTTGCTCTTGCCATAGGTATAAGCAGCAGTTCTTTAAAAAATCACTCAACATCAGTATCCAAGTAAATGGATTAGAACTTGAACAAAAGCCTTCGTGATCACCTTATACACAACCTCCCTAGCAAGGTGTATACTTTATGCATGGATAAAAATTAGTCCGTTAAAAATACATGAAACAAAGAATTTCATTTCTTCTTCTTAGCCACTGCCATCAACTTACACTTAAAAACAGAGAGACATGAAACACTCACATGGAACAAAAATAACAGGGAAAATAACATTTTACAAAACAAGCATTTTTAAAGGCATTATGAGATGACATTTTCACATGTATTTCCACAAAAGCCTGCTTTTTGAAGAATGTACTTACATGTCAGAATTGCCTCTTCAAATTTTAGGCACCAATTATAACAAAGGACAAAACAAGCATAAAGGAAAGCTTCATTCATCAAAGGTTACAGCACAGTATTATGATGTCACTAAAAGCCAAAGATATTGTTCTACCCTTACCTTTAAGATATAAGACATCCTCTAAAGTGAATATGTAAAGAAAGAGAAGATGAGCGTGAGAGGTCGATGGTTATAATGACCAAATCCATTTATCAATAATTCTAAAACAACATTTGAAATGTTAGTGTTATCACAAATCACACAGAGAGAATATCACATGTTCCCCAATTAGTTCCAGATGTGATCCCATCATGCAAAAGCCCAAGGAATACAGTTCTGTGCAGCATCCCCAGTGCTGAAAATCACCGAAATACGTACTACATAGTAAGGCTAGATTAATAATTCTCCTCTCCCAGCAGAAATAAAGTGATCATGCCTTAGTTTTAATGGATTAGTTCTGTGCAGGATTAAGGCGCCTTTACCCTTCGTAGCTCACCTTCATTTGAATTTACTAACTGACAATAACAAAATATCCATCATTAAAAAGGGAACCTAGATAACAATGAAGTGGCACTCCTGGTTTTAGGCAATCAAGGAAGAAAATAGGATGATGTGGTTATCATCGGTCAATTTCCCAAACAAATCTGGGTGACAGGATCCAGGCCTGTTTCTGAACAGAGGTACATAATAAAGATTCAGCTCAAGGGTTACTGTTCTTTCATGTTGGGCTGAAGCAAAGTTCTATTTTCACTGCACTAAGAGTTGGAGGCACCAATTTATGAGAAGAGTAGAATGGTGTTTTAAATCCAGACTCAGAACAGAGCTAGGTCTGTGTTGCTCATCAAAGCACACGGACCATACAGAAACATAAGCTGCATTCGCTCCATCATTCTAAGACGGGCCCCCCACTGTCCCAAACTTAGAGCTTCATTCAGTAAGACCTATTTAAAGAACAGTTACTCATCACTGAGCTTCTTTTCTGAAACGATGATTAACAGGTTAAGGGAAAAAAAAAATCCACTGATGTTGGAATGGGAAGGTAGTGCTCCCCACAGTGACGGAAGCCAGTGACATTTCCTGCCGCAACTTGAGAGGAAAAAAAAAAAAAACTTGAAATCCCCAGCTTACCTAAATATCGAAAGTGCTCTAAGGTCTACAAGTGACTTTTGAAAAGGCATTCTGTTCATTCCAGTCTTTCTCCTTTCCAACTGCAGCAAATAGGTCAGACTCATACTTTGGACGCCTGGCTTGGCCTTACAAGAACTGCACTGATTGCTTTTAATAGAGGAAAATGTGTTCCCACCTGCAGAACTGGGTCTGCTTGGTGGGGAATTCAACTTTAGTAAAGTGATCTGTGTTTAATCTTAAGTGCTGTCTATGCACCCTTAGATTCTTAGATTAGATTAGATTTAGCCTATCACTGTCAAGGTAAACCAGCACACTTCAGGAGGCCAGAAAAACTTAGGCAGTGTACATAAGCCCAGTGGATCCACAGTAAATCTATGTAGATGGAACTGGGGGAAGTGGGTGATCGAGAAATAAAAAATTCCCGAGTGGAGCAATGCAAGACTGACTGACATGTATCACCTATCACAAATTCTACCACATTCCCACAGAACTATGTGTCCTCAGCCACAAAATGAGCTCGTCAGAAGCATTTTATACCAGATGTAGCAAAATTACCTCTTTATAACCTAGCGCTGCGGATGGTCTAAGTGGAGGCGCAGGTCGTAGACAACTTAAACTCCACGGTTTTATAATTTGAGGAGGCTCCAAGGGTCCTCGGGGCTGTCCAGTAGAGCTAAAAGACTGGGAAAATGTCTGATGAGATGCTGACAATCTGCCATCTGAACCCGACTTTGTGCCACACTCAGCGAGAGCACGATCGTGGGAACAGCCAAGGGAAAGAGGGGGAAACTTTCCAGAGGGAGAACGGACGCTTTTCAGTCACGATTACGGGGTCTCACAGGAACAGCACAAAATTGACTGAGGACCCCTTGATCCTGTCCTCCCTCTCTATTCTGGAATTTCGTTCAAGCTGGGGTTTCTGCTCTGAGGGAGGAAAGTGGGGGCCACGCTCGGTATTTAATGAGGTCAACCATGTGTTCGGCACTCTTCTCAGGAGCTTAAACAGCTTATTTAATCGGAACAACCTAAGACCTAGGCTCAGAAAGTGAAGCGACTTGGCAAAGTCAAAATTCGAACCCAGATCAGATGCTAAAGCCTATGTTCTTCCCACCACAACACAGCGCTCAACACTGGAAGGCAGGTGTCATAGGTTGGCATTAATAGCCAACATGGCGCATCTTTGATCTCACTCAAGTACAGTAAAATCTCAGCAATTCAAATTCCATGACTCTAAATTTGTGATAAGGTGGAAGAAGGCAATCCTACAAGTTTACCCCTGAAGGTTACTGAACAAATGTGAGTGTAAATGAGATTACATGAGGATGTTCAAGAATATGAAGGCAAACTACTCCTTATGACTTAGAAAAGTAATAGGAGAATAATAGTTGCTAATTAAAATGCATCTTGTTTAGCATTAAACATCTTCGCAGGACTGCTAGTTAGAAACTCTTGGCTAGCAGTTAGTTGGAGTACCTGAATCCTGTCAACGAAAACTGCACACGTTCTAGAGAAACCCTCAATTAATTTGGATGGGCATCCCCCTCCCTCCACAAAAAGAAATCAGAATTAGTGAGGTTTAACTGTACTTCAAAGTCTGCAGATATAAACCACCCAGAGACCCAGGGCATGCTGAACAGGCAGGATGTGAAAGAGACTCAATTATTTCTGGCCACAGTGCGTGGACACTTACGGAATGAGCACTGCAAGATGACGACGATGTTTTGGATAACGAGCTGCAGGAGGTAGGGCCTCTGACAAGTCTGTACAGCTGCTCCAGCCATTCCTGGAAGTCCTGGCTGTTGTTGCAATGGACCACGATTCTCTCTACTAAGTTCCCTGCATCACAGATTACAAGCATTTGGAAACAAAAGGCAAAGAGAACCTTGTTTCATTCATAACCATAGTTCATGCAACTAGAACTCCGGATTCTTTTCAGGACTTCTCGTACCTACAGATAACATTATTGAAACTTCTGGAACAGATGAGCTGGGATAATATGGTAGAGAAGTAAACATTCACATTTGATGTATAAAACTTGATTTCTACTTTCGGAAACTTAGCACTAGTATAAAAGTTCACTCTAAAGAAACTTACAAAACAATTTTACAATCCAAAAATTAAAGCAAAGGGCCCACCTAGTCTAAAATCAAATTCTTATATTTGGATTGTTAATTTTGCCTTCATGTTCTGGATAGATTGTGACATATATTTTTATTTTAAAAATTAAGTTTAAGGGGCCTCCCTGGTGGTGCAAGGGGTTAACTCTCAGCACTATAAAGCAATCACCGGCCACTGCAGCACGAGTTCAATCCCCGGCCAGGGAGCTGACCCACACGGTGGAGCAGACCTCTCCTGTCTCATCCGCTGCTCCTCTCAGCAGTGGATTTCAGTCAACCCACTTGTTCTGCTCCCCATTCTGTCTCTGGGGAATCTACTCACACCCCTACACCTCTGGCCTACACCCTAGATCTTGTAGGCATAAATAAAGAAAATAAATCTTAAAAAAATAAGCTTAGTAGATTAGTAAAATGTTATCTATATCACTACATTTATTAAATTAAAACAGTTTATGATTTATGTTTATTATAAAGCCAGTTTAAAAAGACATACAACATGAATTTTTCACAACTTAACCTACCTTGAAATGCTATTAAACTTCCCATAGAGTTAAATAAAAATAATTTAATAAAATGAGAACACTGTACTGCTTTGCCCCATTCAAAGTTGAGACAAGGTCCAACTAAGACTGGTTGTAGTCTTTGGGCCAATGCCATATCTTGGGGTCCCCAGTGGGAAAGAAGGGGGACAGAGCTGGGTTGGTATCCCCGCGTTGGCTGTGGGGCCCTGTGAGCAAAGGGCAGCCATTGCATGCAAATCACACAGGCTGGCCACAGGCCGAGGAGCATTACTGAGGCCTGGCACTTGGCTCGGTTTGTGCAGAAAGGCTCATGGCTTTTCAGCACTTTTTAGAAATACAACCAAATCTTGCTAATTCATAGGCTGATGATAAAATTGCGGGTAAAAGTCCACATCTTTGGCTCCTCTGCCACCAGGAAATAGATGACAGAAGGAAAAGAAAATTACATTTACATCAGTCCATTTTGTTATTAGCTCTAACAAGTAGCTCTTATGCAAGACAAGATTGAAACTAATGGCAAAGTGGAGGCTTTTGAATGACTGGGAGACGTCTCTGTTCTATCGCCACAGTACCCTAATTACCCCAGGAAATGGAATATCCTTCTCTACGCCATGTAAAACTTGTGCCCAGACTGTACAACAGAAAAAAAAAAAATAGCACTTATTTATTTAAAGCCCACTTCATTCCGAAAAGTATTTGAAGTAGCTGCATGAAGAAGAAAATGACCTACCTGTGATTTCAAATGTGCAGTCATTCCCTTCAATTTCATCTAATCTAGTCACTGCCATTCCCGCTACTGGCATTTTTCCCTATCAGAAAAGGAAGATTCCCATTAATTCTGTGGTTATACAAGTCTGTGCTTTATTTCTATTCGCTGTCCTGACTGTCTCGGGAATCACTGCTAAATTACGGCTAGAGATATTTCTCTGGCCTGTCAACACATAATCGATCTCCCTAATCCAAATTTTAATCAGACAAAAAAGCGAGAGGGGAAATGTTGGTTGTGCTTTAGCTAAACTCCAAAAACTATCAGGTCTGGATTTATAAGCAGGTGATTTTCTAACATATTTTCATGAGAATCTGTGCCCAAAGTAAAGACTGATATTTTATTAAAGTCATTGCCAGACTAAGATACAACAGATGACAGAAATGTATAAAACTCTGTATTTTGGAAGCAACCCGAAGGAATTTTCATTTCCTGAGGAAACCCGAACCACGTGATGTGACTGAAATGACACAAACACAGCAGCAAGACCCAGCTCTGTATTTTCTCAGCACTAAAGATACACTGTAGGCTTGTCAAATATTGCTGCTCATTTATCCAGGTGCAGACTTAGACTTCTCTTTATATAATCAAAACCTAGCTCCTACCCAGAGTAGTGGGCAATCTGTAATTTAGCAATACAAAGTAATACATTGCCTTATAGTAATACAAAGGTCTTTGATATAAGAAACATCTGCTCTGATAAGCTATTTAATTGCAATGAAGGATGAGAACATGCTGTTCTCTTCTGGCCGGAACTTTTAATGCCAGAGTGAAGATATGGCATCTGGATGGAACCATTTTTTCATTATGGGTCCTACTATTTGTTTTATGTGAAATCTACTAACCTGATAGATAAAGCCACTCATCCGAGGACTTGCAGATAACATTATCAAGACACTTGAAAATAACATAAGGTACCGCTCCTCTTTTTCCTGAAGTGGAATGGAAAATATTCAGTGGAGAATAGAAAATGGATATTTTGTTCACTAAGAATTTCTGGGATAAGTTTTTGTAATATACAGCATTTTAAAATTGTATTATAATAGCTTAGTTTTACATCATTTTGTGCCTTTTTCATCTCAGTTGTCATCCCCGTGGGCTTCCCATCACCAGATCACCCGTGTGCCATCACCATAGTCCAGTGCACTTCCCCCACCCCCACTCCACCGCCATAAAATGTCTCTGGTATATAATTGTTCATTATTAATATTTTTCCGCCTAAACAGTATTTTTTTAAAGATACCCAACTTGAAAGTATAAAATAGTAGAATTTTACTTTGAAATGGACGACCGAGGTTGATCTCTCTCATTCCAGCACATAAAGCTAAATACAAACAACCATTGTTTCCCAAGCAGGTAAGCCTGGCAGGCCCAGTCAATACCTCCCTGTCCAGTCTGCAGCCCCAACACAATCGTGATCTGTACATTCAGAAAATGAGAATGATTTTACTTTGGAGAGTCGAGCGCTGTTTCACTACCCGACGTGCTGCCTCCGCTCCTGACAGACAGCCTTGCTCACTGTCTGTCTGGAGAATCACGCTCCTGTCCTCTCCTGACATGAGAATGAACTGTACTTCATGAAACTTCCCCTTGGCTCTTCACGACCCCCATGAGGTCTTCTGGCTCTCTCCCTTCTCTGAGTTTCCAGGGGCTCTGATATTGAGACTGCACTACCTGGCTTGGTCTGAATGAGTTCCCTGAAGGCAAGGAGGTCTGCTTGCTCTCTCCTTCCAGCTCCCATAGCACTGAGCATGACATTGGGTACAGAATGCATGCTCAGTTTTTTATTGGAATGTTTGCGTAGTTTGACCTTGATGGAAGAGCAAATAAAGGAAGTGAAACAGCAAAGATAGAAGAAAAGGTGTGAAGATCGACACCACCTTACCTCACATGCTCCATACTGCACCAATACTTGTGACATAAAAATCACATTTCCCAAGGTTTTAATATCCTCTCCTTCCCATGCCTGAATAGGTTCCGACAGTATCTGTAACTCCAACTGCTTTCTCTTTCTTAGATCTTGGCATTGCCCCTATAGAACAAAGCAGAACAGAATAGAGTGAGGACTCTTATGAAACCTAAAATAAGACCAAGTAATGCGTAGCTTTTGACTCCCAGATTCCTACTGGGTCCTTATTCCTGAGCATGAATCCTATCACCAGATCCATTCCTGATGGACAGACGAACTCACTACCTGAAATCTCTAGCCTGGAGCCTCCGAGAGTTTGACGAAGAGCTACTTTTCATTTTGCAAAACATCAAGATAAAATGGTAGAAGGGGCTCATTTCTCCCTCTCTGCAAAGAGTATGGGAAGACTAGCAGCAGAATCACAAAGAGGCTAGGGGGCAAATGGGGGCTCAGGCCTGCTGGGGGATCCATCATGGCGCTCGTCATGAATAACCCATTACTTATAAGGCAATTTGTTTTTCTAACATGTTCAGTTTCCATTGAAGCAATATCTTAATTTTTAAAAACACAAAAAATGTCTCTAGGAGTTATTCAAAAACAAAAGATTAAATTCCTATGCCACAGTGAAATGAATTAACATATGCACGTAATGCCTAATGAAACATATGCGCCACCCTGTATTTTGTTTAGGGACTCATAGCAGATTGCAATGACAAAATACGCAATTATTATTTATTCCTAAAAGGATTAGGAATAGCAGATACAATTGAATTTCAAGAATACAGACTGAATGTAAAAATCAAGAAACAATATTGGGGGCATGAGTGTGCGCAGACGGACTGATTGACTGATTGACTGGCAGCTAGCTAGATATAATCACCGCTTCCAAAAGTGGCAGGTTATCTTACAGCTATTTAATGCTACTCACGACAAACTGAGTATGAAAATAAGCATACATTTAGGTATGTTACTGTTTCCAAATTAGTGTTATAATGTTGGCGGGGGGGGGTCTTCTATAAGATCTCTGCTGCCCCTTTACTTATAAATGGAAATATGAAGAAATAAATAATTTGCACAAATTTTGAAGTAATTCCAGTGAGAATACATATATATCAATCTCAAAACAAGTTTTACAGCATGTAAAATGATCAGAAAAAATAAGGGTTTTCAAGGATGTAATTTAGATTCCATTGACATGAGGAAAGTAAAATTGACAGAAATTATAATAAACACCGCATTATCCCTGGGCTGTTCTATTGTATTGAGCCATGTAAAACTGCCAATATTCACCTTTTTTTTTTTAACTATGAAAACAGCCATTTAACCTAATACTTTAAACTTGTCTTCAGCTTATGATTTAACTGATTTCAACAACAGGGTGATAATAAATTTTGCGTCTCAACCTTGCAGCAAGAATCAATAACTAAACGTGGATCCCAGTCACTGAGAAGGCAACAGAAATGTCTCAAACGAAATGCAACTTAATCCCTCACCCCAAATCACATTTTCTTTCCTGCTAAAATGGCACCAAATGGTTTCAAGAAGACCTTTTCACTGCCATGGTCAACAAGACTACAGGTACTAGGTAGCAATGTACACAAAGCAATGGTATTGTAGCAGGTTGTTTTCCTTTCAGATTTGATAAAGGATTTGTTTCTTACTTGCAAAGAATAAACTCACACCTCTGGCATCAGTAGGTGATGATGAGGCCAGTATTGATGCGAATCAGTGAATGACAGAAGATGAGCACCATGGGGGGAAAGACAAAGAGACAGAAGGAAACCCCCACCTACACAGCAGTGCTTAATGTGGCAGAGACTTCAAATGTGAATGCTTTATGCCCTTGGCCTGGCAAGCTTTCATAGGCAAGCATGATTTTTGGAAGACAAAATTAAATGAAACAATCACTGTGATACTGTCACTGAAGTGTCCTGTTTCCGCTCTGAAGACCGTTGCAGAAGGAAAGAAATGTTACACACAATCACTTTTTTCAGGAACGAAGCATATGAAATGGAGAATTATAATTTTAGAGTCTCACCTACCATGAGCGTTTTGAATGCTACGATGGCTTTCAGAATATCCTGATGATCTGGATGCGTATCCTATTAAGGGAATACATTTAAAAACAATATTAAATGAGAATGGATCAGTGATTGCCAAGGGTTAGGAGTGGGAGGAGGGTGTGGTGATAAAGAGATAGAAGAAGGGAATTTGGGGTAGAGGGTAAAGCAACTAACTGTCTATATCACAATCGTAGTGCTGGTAACAAAATCTATCCATGTATTGAAATTCATAGAACTTTATACCAAAAGAAACAAGTCAAGCTACTGTATGCGGATGTGAGGACTGGTAAATAAAGCAGCATTGGCCCATTTGGAATCTCAGCACCACCAGTCATGGGGGGATTAAGAATTACAGCATCTGGGGCCCTCCCTGGTGGTGCAAGGGGTTAAAGTACAGCACTAGGAAGCTAGGCACAGCGCTTCAGCATGAGTTTGATCCCCGCCCCAGAGGTGACCCACATGGCATGGCAGACCGCTCCTGACTCGCCCATTGCTGCCCTCAGCAGTGTACTTTGTTGAATGCCTGTTCTGCTCCCCACTCTGTCTCTGGGGAATCCTCTCACCTCCCCGGCACCTCTGGCCTGTCCCCCAGTTCTGTATGCATAGCTAAATAAATCTATCTTGAAAAAAAAAGAATTACAGCACCTGGTGCACATCCGATCTTTGAGAACCGCACATGAGTTGTGGCTACCGAGGCTAAAGCTACCATTTCCCTTTGCACTTTAGATAATAGCAGTTATTATTTGGGTGGTGTCGGGATGATTAGTTGTTAGCAAATGACACAGGTAGCAAACTGTGGACACAGGATGGTGGTTAGAGAAAATGTCTTTTGCTAAAATGCCTCCATTTACTTTGGGCAGCCAGAACATGGCAGGTGGGAAAACATCCCCAGCCGCACACCTCATGCGTCTTCTGCAAGGTCACAAGGACACGCATGCTGACCCCTACCTAGGGCTCAGAGAAGTGGAAGTCACAAAACTGAGAGAGAGGAGTCACATCTCTGTAACAGGCTATGAAGGGAAAGGAGAAATTCTTGCAGGCAGACACATGCCTAACCTGGGGGCCTGAGGGGTGCAGGCGTGCACTCCTGGGGACTACATGTATCCCTGACACTTGGAATTTTGCTGAAGACAAAAGCTGCAGCACCCCCCTACCCCCAACTCCCAGCTTTGGGTGCTAAAACGGAGCTGCACCCATGAAAGGGTCTGTCCCAACTCAGGAACAGTATTGCTCTTGAGGAGAAAAGGGTGCAGCCTTTGATATTTAATTGCTCCTTAGCAGAGTCAGCTGATGATGGAGAAGTTCAAGTTCTGCTCTACTGGTAGCCAGTAGCCTTGCTACCCAGGTCAGAAAAGGAGGTGAATGTGTCACCCAGTGGCGAGCTAGTTGGATGGGGTGCATTATCTGACAGCACCAGGCATACAAACGGGCCCCCATACAAGGAAGGCCAAGAAAGAAGACCCAGGTGGTAGAAGCGTTGGGGATTTTCCTCCCCAAATTAAGTGCATATTCATACAAGTAGAAACAGAAACTGAGCCACTAATTTCTGGACTTTAGTAATAAGCAAGGGAAGGCAAGCCTCAAACATTTCAGCGAACTAGTTCAGTTTTTGGAAAGGCATCCAGAGGTCAACACCTTCCTGAGCCCCCCTGGAATTTCACTGGGGTAGGCCTCCCCCACAAGCCCCCCACTGCCTCCAGTTTTCTGTCAGGTCACATAATCTAAGAATGCGGGTTTCGCTCAGCATACATACTTTCAGTCCTTTCAGACGCTGACAAGATGGACAGTATGCAACGCTTTTTAAAAGAGAATCAAACCCTTTAAACCCTCAAAACCTTTCCTCAGACAAAGGAAGAACAAGTAGGCTAAATGCACCCCCCTCCACCACCCTTTCCACCCCGTCCCCACCCCTCCGCAGCCCTCCTCCCCCACCCACACTTCAGTCCCCTAAGCTGGATGGTGCAGGAGCACATCAGGAAGCTTTCACTATTGATTGGTTTGTAATTATAGGGTTTGGGTTCCTGATGGAAAAATATCCAAGTATCAGTCCAGGTTACAACCCCTTAACATTTACAAAAGATGATAGCTGTGCTTCAGCTGTAGCAAATGAGTTTATAAGCAAAAACGTGAGGTGGCTCTGATGTGGATGTGAGGAGACACAGAGGTAGACTAGTAAGGGTCACTGATTCATCTTTAAGAAACACCAGCATCTCCCACTGCGATTCAGAATCCCAGAGCTGAATGACCACAGTGTTCTAGAGATACATGCTCCCGTCCACAGATAGGGTGCCCTTTGGACATTATTTTGCTTTGATTAGCTCCCACAGTAAGATTGTTAAAATGCCAGAACAGAAATGCCCAGCTTGATTTTATTTGAGCCACTGTGTACAGAAGAGAGGGCAGAAGAAAACCCAATTCAACACGTTAGCCTAGATGTGCGGAAGGATGGAGGCTGGGGGCGGAAGTGGGCAGGGAGAATGATGGCGAACACTTAGCACTGATAGGTGGATTTCCAATTCTGAGCAAGACCCTGGGGTCAAAGGCCACTAAGGTTAATAACACTGTGTTATGTACTTGAAAGTTGCTACTTGAATAGATCTTGAATGTTCTCGAGGTGATGGCACGTTAACTGACTTGATGGTGGTCATCATTTCCCAGTGTATGCAAATGATACATCATCACCTTGCACACCTAAAAACAATCGTGGGGTGTAATGTAATGTATATAGTTTCCATCTGTCGCTGATACCTCGATAGAGGTGGGGAAAAGAAATGAGTTTTTAAAAATCTTCAATGGGGAACATCAAAAGTTCCCTTTCTTATTTTGCTACATAAAGAGGAAAACTAGACACCTGGGTAGAAGAAGGATTGAATAAAGGAAATTTGGAGATCAAGGCTTTTCCCGAAATCCCCTTGAAGGTTGGGCCGAGCACAGGTCAACTTGGCATCTGTTAGGAAGCTCGCCGTCCCTTACCTCCATGTGCCGCTCCAGCTCCTGTAAGAGGGTCACGTACTTTTCCAGGCGCATGAATGGTTTGCTGAGGCTCGTTGTTAAAATGAGGATACCCGGGCTGGCGGCGCCTTGACTTTCCATAAACTGTTCCAGATCATCGCTAGCCAAAGAACACAAACCGTCTTATTACTGTGAAACATTCCATATCAAAACGACTAACAACATTATTTTACACAGCAAAAGTAAAATGTATTCCAGAAACCCCTAGAAGTCTGATTGTAGATTCAAGGCTACGCAGTGAGGAGGGAGAGGTTGAAGAGCCAAGGGGGGAGGGGTTCATGGACTGGTGAGAAGCTGAGGGCGGCGCCTCACCCAGAGCTCCCCTCTCACCGGCACAGGTGTACAATGTTCCAGACTCAAGCTCTAAATCCACATAGCAGCAGTTTTGTGTGACTAGCCACAAAAGCGGTAGGATCTTAAGCCTACGACCTTACGGTAGGCCACACACCACCCAAACAATTCCATATGGCAACAACGTGGCTGAAAACGACAAAAAATCATTGTATGCTATGAACTGTGGCCTGCAAATGTCTCCTCAGAGCTAGTGCCTTCTCTGCCCTTCTGTACCTTCTGGATTCTTTCTACCAACAGGATATTGAGTCATGGGGCGACAAGATCATTTTCATATCTACTTCCACAAAATATAATTAGAGAGGGAAGCCTACTGCCTAGGACAGCGTCTTTGGAAACTTCTGCATATTGCATTAGCCCTGACCTCCTTGCTTCTCCAATCAGTTAGAGGTCTTCCCGCCTCTGAATGCCTTTCCATGCCCAGCAACACCGCCTTCCTTCAGGTTTTCAGTCATCCCGCCCATCATCTGAGCAGCCCCCTAGTTCCGTCTTATCTCTGCTGAACCTGAACCTCCTATCCTGCAGACTGCCGCTTCAACCCCAGTGCGCTGCTACTTAAGAACCTCTGATCACCTAATAGATCAAGTCTTACCCTTTTCGATTCTACTGGCCCCACCAATCTTTCTCATCACTTCTGAAGGGAACTTTCTACTACACAAAGTGACCTATTTAGTCTCCTATGAAGTGCTTCGTAATGGTGGTGCTGCAAGAGGTTGTGAAAGTGTCCCAAGAACCTTGATAGCAGTGATCAAATACAAGGGGCCTGGGAACAGAGTGGCTTGCAGGTCATCCCGGTGGAAAGACAGACAGTCTATCTCCTTGGGCTTTTGTGGACAGGACAGAAAAGGACGACGTTTTAGCTTCAGCATCAGCAGCCTCGAATCTCACAAGTGTATCAGAAGGGGTAAGGGCTGGAAATCGCCACCTTCAAGGAAGCTAGCTCTTGTCAGAGTGGTGAAATCTAATCACCTATGTACCCACTTTTGCAATCTCTCTCCAGATGCAACTGAGAAGAAGAGAGTGCTCTGGCTTTGGACTCATGAGATCCTGGTTCTCTCCTCAAGCTTTGCCTGCCCGGTCCAGAAGACACATCAAGCCTGCTCCTACTGAAAGTGTCTATTGTTGCATGCTAAAAAAGTGCATTTGTCCTTCTTGTTGAAGATGCATAACAGTTTTCAATGCTTGTGCCATCTTCGTGTTTCAGATGAGAAACCCGAGACTCAGGAAGGGCAAGCAATAACAAGTCAACGGCTAAGCTGGGCTTCAGACCCAAGTCAGAACCTCAGGGCTCTCCATGACCACGTGGCAGCCTCTGTACTGGGAAGTGTTTTGTAAACTTTAAAGTAGTCAACAGATGCATTGTTATTAGGATTATTATTATTATTCCAAGGCAAATACTTGAGAAAATCATATCTTTAAAAATTACTAAACTGTGATTTCCAGCCAAATGGAAATGCAATTGATGTTTAATTTCCAATCAGGAGCATAAAGTGCACAAAGAGGTTTAAAAATTCATCACATATAAAATATAATTAGGAAAATAACTCAAATTTGGAGAGTGCATTTGAGTAGAAATGTAATTTAGAGAAAATCGCCTTCCTAATTTCTTTTCAATTTGGTAAACAAGTCTTATTTTTTCTTTCCATCAGGAATAAGTGCTGGCATCCGGAAGGCTGCACGCTAATTGATACAGGAGTTGCAACAATTAAAAGCCAATGCTAATGTGTACTCTATTATTTTCCACAAAGCGCTCTAACTCCTAGGTTTATTGAATACAAAAGGATTTTTAAAAATTTCAATCTAACATGCAATCAGTATCTTAAAACAAAAAACCTGGCTATCGGGAAGAAAACAAAATTTTACTAAGGCAACAAAAGAATAAAACTGTCTTAGACAGTCAGAGCTCATGATGATAAATAGATTCTAAAAGATGCATTGTGCGTAGCCAAATAAATTTAATACATAAATTAAGATTACGATTCACAAATATAAAAGGCAAAGATAGATCACCACACCAAAGAACAACTGGTCTTTAAAATACTTTTAAACCTTATACAACCTACTTGAATTGTCAGTGGGGGAAGACTTGCTTTTCAAGCTTAACATGTTCACATATATGATGTGATGCAGTCGACGCTGTTTCAACAGATGAGTGACTACAAATTCAACTTGCATTCATCTGGTGCTGATGGATGGGACCCCCGGGCTCCACCAGAAAGCCACAGAAGCAACTGCACACCAGGAAGCCGCCACAGAGCACATGGCGCCCTGACGGCATCTTTGCATCCAGTTCTACCTTGTTGGCAGGTAACTACCTGGAGCAGTTCTGGGAAAGGAGCAGCCATTTCCTCCTTCTTCCTAACCTCCCTGCCTTCCAGGGGAATCCCTGTGGGGGCAAAGGGGAGTGCAGCTTGAGAGTCCCAGAGGCTTCTCCCACTGGGTTGGGAGTTATCCTTCTTCATGGACACAGTCCCATGTGACAGGCTGTCTCCTTCTTTTTTGTCCCTTCCATGTTTTGTTCCTCAGTCTGATGCGTTCCCTTCCCTGATTCCTCAAAGACAGAGGCAGAATAGCTCTGCTCTCAGAGTTTTGCCTATGCTGCATGACCCCAAAGCAAGGACATAGCTCTGGGTTTTTCCCTAAGTCTATATCGCTGACAGCAATGGTTTACAGACAATGATTACAACTAGCGAGAGGGAAAGAACCTCGCTGTTTGTGGGAGTCGCTGTGAAGGAGGAAAGTGAGGCCCAGGTCTGTCCCGCTGCTGTTGCCTCTCTTAACCCTGGGCCCTCTCCCTTGTGAAAGGATGGATGCCACATCGAAGCACGGGGGAGTATTTGGGTATTTACGGGTATTTTTGTAAGGAGAGGTTCAAGAAGAAGTTAAGAAACCAGAGCTGCTGTGGCAAGGCGGAAGGGGAGAGAGAGGGGAAATCCCAAAGACCTCACTCAGGGGATAGCAAAAGACTGGGACAGTCATTCAAATATATGTAAATATGGGGGACACTCTGAGATGGGGGTCTGCTTATGTCTCCAATTCAGATACTATATTATTCCATTTTTAACAAGTTGCCTCTATCCAAACATGCACTGTTAAGGCTGCAGCCCTTCTCATTAACCATTGTCAGGAGCATTTCTGGTGAAGTGGTGCCACCTGCAGGCATAAAAGGAGAAGTGCATCTGACTGGCCTGCTCAGGCCGGAAGTCATGTTCCAGCTTCAGCACGGGTAGCTTCAGCAGGGAAAACCACAGCAATCGACCAATGACTCTTTTTCATTTGAAACCTTCATCTAAAACAAGTTCCTAATCTGAATTTTCTGTGAATTTGAGTCAAGTATTCTTTGTCTCTAATGTGTCAGCCTAAATTACCGCAAAATTCAACTAAAATGACCAACTATATTAGAAGCACAACTGAGGAAAAACACGATTTCATTTTATTTTCAATCCTTCTATGTAAATAAACCATGAAGATAAAATTCAACTGTATGGGACTCCAGGGAGCTTTCCATCATTACAAGGGATATTATAAAAGTCACAAAAAACATAACCAAAAAAAAAAATCAAGTAAACCACAGCATAAATTTATCCTCAACATTAAGAATGTTATTATAAAAAAAACTCACCCAAGTACTACGAAAGGCTGCCATTTCAGGTACACCTTATCTTTCTGGTATTTATCTAAAAGTGCTATCCTCAGATCAAACGGAGAATATGGCTCATATAAATAGTTAACATGAAGAAGATCTCTTTTTATTGGTACTGAGAAATTTTCCTTTATATACACAGGATGTTTTTACATCCATCACAGAAAAACACACTCTGAACCATTGCTTAAAAATATATATTAACAATAAGAGGTAAAATATTGAAACATTTCTAGAAATTATAAAAACAAATCCAGGACTGTTTTACCTCTTGTGCAGGAGGAAGGGTAAGCAAATTTTGGAGCATTTAGTTAGAACTTTAGTTGCAGCTAGAATTTGTTTCTTAAGCTATATGGCGGCTATCTGTGTGTGCTTTATCTTTGTTCTTTGTGTGTTTAAAATAGTTTTTTCTAGTAAAAAAAATGAGTAGCTGGTAGACGATGAAAGAACATACAAGTAGGGAGTGGCAGCCAGTACTTTGTGCTAATGTCGGGTACTCTATGTTCATTATTTCATTTACTCTTCATATCAGCCTTGCAAAGTAGGTATTTTCCCCCTTTTTACAAGCCAAGGTAAGAGAGTAAGCTTTGAAATTGAATGAATTACCTTAGGCAACACAGCTTCAAAGTGCCAGGACTCTAAACTGAGGCATAGTCGAGGTGGTAAAAAGTTTACACTGAGAGTGAGGTTTACATGGAAATGGTGGGGACTTTCACTTTGGGGGTGGCGGCACGAGGCGCTCCAGTGACCCATCCCCTGGTGAAATAAGTGCAGCTGGTGGAAACTATAAAAACCACCATTTATAGTGTCCAGAAATTGTCCTAATGGCAGATGATAAATGAAAAAGACACTTATTCAAGAAAATGTTATAAAACTCAGAAAAGAGGGGGTGCTCATGGCAATAGAGGCATGACCTGCGCTTCGTCTCTTTCCCCCTCCTAGTTTATCTTAACAGAAGCACCACTGCAAGAAATGTACCCAAAAGACAGGGCCCCCTCTCACTCAACATTGGGTCAAAGGACACGGCCTCTCCTTAGCTCACCCCATCAGTTTCAACTCTGAGTTGAAGAACCTTGATGTGTGGTGAGTGACTGAGAAACAGAAGG